TTTATTCTGACCGATTTACCCGATTCCGATCCGGATCGCCGATTCGCCGATCCGGATCGCCGATTCGCCGATCCGGATGGCCGATTCGCCGATCCGGATCGGTTTTTGAAAAGCCATATCCGGGTCACCGATCCGGTTTTTAAACCATTGCTTGTAACTATTATCATGTTGGGCGACCAAAACCAAAATTTTGAATTGTAACTCCCACTATTTTGGGCGTACATATGAGAATGCATTTGTAGATGGAAAATTTAAGAATTTCGATTAGTTTAATATAAAAGGGGGTGAGTTTAGTTTTCACATATTTCAATAACATTTGGTGAGAATAATGAAATTATACCATATATGACGTTTAAATCCCAAACTTTTAGAATATGATTTATACATTAGGGTTTAAAAAAGAACCGATTGGGAATATTTCCCATTAGAATCGGCCCGTTATGTCAGGGAACTAGCTGATTCGGCCCTACTTTTTTTAATATTTTTTTTATTTTGTTCTCTATTTTTTATTGGCCTATTCTCTTGGCTGGATTACCAATCCATACCGTAGATCTGCCATTAGGAATAATTTTCCAAATGGGTGATTTGGGTCATTGATCCACTCTTTTAAATAAGGAAAATTGTTTCATGCAGGTTGGACCATATTTCTACATATACGGTCCAGAAAGTGTAAAGCATCCATCTTAACGATAGATGTAAGTAAGTATTTCATCTAAAAACAATGGAAACTAACGGTCCAGATGTTATCTTAGTTTTCAAATTTTATTTCTTTTTTCATATTCATGATCTCCATGTTAGAGATAACATATCTTTAAAAATTAAGTCTTAAAATTCATTTAAAAAATAGATATATTAAGAGGCCCACATTTCTACATATGCAGGCTTGGCCGCATAGAAACCGAGTCCTTGAAAAAGATGCGAGAATTATATAACATGGTATTTTTAAATCGAATTCATCATGAGAGATTTTTCTAATACAAACCGAAGTATGGTATCATGTAAGTTTGAGATGCTCATCATTCTCCTCCCACGGCTTCCCTATTTGAAAGAAAAATAATAATTTATAACTTTCGTTTTCCTTAGATTGTCTGGAGTCTATAGGTGTTTTTTTTTAATAAAAAGAAGCATTGAAATGATTTTACAAAGGAAAAGGTGAAAATTTTGAAGAGTTTCAGGTTTTTTTGAAAAAATTTAATGTCTATTAATCATATGAATGTACAGATTTATCTTTTATAGACAAATTACAAATGACAATAATAGAAACAAAATCATAAATGCCTAAACTTTTAATAAAATATAGATTCTCTATCAACCCTTCCCATAAATGTTGATTGCAATATATACTTTCTATATTAACCCGATACACAATATACACTTTGCTTTCACACTCCCTCTCAAACTCATTTTGCGAGAGAGAGAAAGCAGCTGGAGTTTTAACACTAATTGTGGAAGCGAGCAGTTGGATCTTCAAGTGTATACTCAGATTGCTTGATCAATAAGCACCGAAAGCAACGGCGAATCAACAAGCCTCGAGAACAGATGGCTTCAAGAACTCTTGGAAAAGATAAAACATATCAAAGAGTCTAAACACGACTCAGTATTGAGACGGATCAGATAGTCGAAACACGACTCGGTAAAGAGACAAATCAGATAGTCGAAACACGACTCGGTAGAGAGACAAATCAGAGAGTCGAAACACGACTCGACAGAGATGACAGATCAAAAAATCGAAACACGACTCAACAAAGAGGATAGATCAGAGAGTCGAAACACGACTCAACAAAGAGGATAGATCAGAGAGTCGAAACACGACTCAGTAAAGAATCAAAACACGACGCAACAGAAGTTACACCGACTGTATGAGCAACAGACTCGTATTGAAAATTAGCAACAATGCTTCAGGGACGAAAAATGGACACAACTAAAAATAGATTTTAGACCCATCGTATGGATTTCCCATGAGGGTTCTTGGACAACATTTCAAGATGAGGCTTTAACTTTTTTGCATAAAGCCTAGGGCTTATAGAAACTGCATCCACAAAGGAAAAGCTCCGAATATTTTTAAGTCCCAAAATTTGGTAATCTAACATCTAGAGCTCAGCAATTAATCTAAAAAAATAATCCAATCAAACCCTCCAACTGCTAGAAAGAAATAATGTCCCAAGATTGAATAAAGACCGTCTAATTTTCGGAGGAGAAGATCTAAATATTGAAAAAGTCATAGTCCAAATAATTATCTGCTTATTCTTAGAAGGACTCATAATACTGATAAAAATATCCCTTGTGGTTCTAAAAATAAATCGTTTTGCTCTTTTGGCTGAGGGACTTAGTGAACAGTATGCTCACTCGTAGAAGGCTACAGCAAGTGGGCTCTTTTCTCTATAAAAATGATCGAAAATAGAAAAGCCAAAATTACTAAATAAAAAATGTATTATTTCTCGTGATGCGACCGACAAAATGACAAAAAGGTCCAAATTCTCGTGCTATGAACTGGAAACCTACATTCATGCGCCCCTGGCTGCCAGCAAAAATGCTCTTACAACATTAAATGCGAGTTTAATATACTAGGGGTAGTTTAGTCAATTTTACTGAAAAATAAAATAGAGGTATAAACACCTTTAGAAAACCAAAATAAAACAAACCAAAAGTTTTGGTGATCCCATAGGAGCACACTGTCATTTGCTCTTCTAAAACCCATTAAGACTACAAAATTGGGAATCTGGCTTCCTTGACCTAGTGACCAACTTGAAAGTAAAAAAATAACAATTTCAAATCGCATTTTCCTGCTCGGAAAAACTTTTTGAGAATCAACAGGGATCATCGATTTTTTTTGGGATTTTGAAGAACCTAAGTCTATTTTTTTTATAAAAACAATCATCTAATTTGGTGGTTTTCAAAATTTCGGTTCAGAAAAGTTCAGTATTTCTTTTGCTTGAGGGAGTTTATATAGAATCTATGCTTCAGCAAGAGCATGCAATCCTAAAACCAAAAAGTTGAACAACCAATTTTCAAAAAAAAAAAAACCCAAAAAATAGTATTTTACTAAGCATATGTACTGGTGTTTCTATGGGATGATAGCATACATCTACTCCCACGGTTGGAATACCTACTTTGGGGGGGTTTTTCTAACTGAAATCTTAGAAGCCCCCTAAAAATCAGTAGATGATTATTATCAAAAGAAATTTTTTTTTTTTGAATTTTGAGTTTTCCAACATTTAGATCTTACCATCTAAAATTTGGATGGTCCCTAAAAATTAGTTTTTTCAAGTGCATAGAGGTGAAAGTAGAAATTCTTTTTATTGAGATTAATGGTTGAAGGGGTTAAATCGTATCCTAAAATTCGTTCGGAATGGAGTTTTACATTAGGGAGCAAATTGACAGTTTACTCTTGCGGGAGTATGATATCCCTTCACTTTTTAAAGATAAAAAGATTAATTTTATTTCGGTTACCCAAAAAAGGTTCTTTGAAAAAACTTTCGGAAACTTTTATTTAAATTTTTCTTTTGAAAAAAGTATTCGTTTATCGTTGTTTATCTATTTCCCCGTGCTCATTGCTTCATTCAAAATGATTTGCAGAGAAGAAAAATTGGCGTTTCTGTAAACGTTAATTTTGGTTTTTCTCCTGTGTTTTAAGTAGAGAGACCTTTTGTTTGAAAAGGTTTTTCAGCTTTCAGTTAAAGAAATAGCGTTAAAAAACTAAAATCCAGGCTTTCTTATTCCTAGTTTTTTACTCGTTTTAAGAAGAAGCCGTGTTGGGAGTTTCTATGCAAAAAGACAATGGAGTTTGCTGAATTTGGCCCAAGTGTTGGCATGCCTTTACATCATAATTTCTCTTAAATAGCCCACGAAAAATCTTGCGGGTCATTAGAACATTATCAAAGCACCTGGTAAATCTTTGAAATCTCTCTCTAAATGCCTCTTTTTTTTCATTTTCTCTCTGCATTAATGATAAAGTGTTTCATTTCCAAAATCATACAAAATCCTAGAAAAATCTTTTTTTTTGGAAAAAAAAATATCCATGGGTTTTTAGTGTTTTAGTCACTAGAGACCGTAAAACGACTTTTTTCTTGAGATTGGGTGTGTTTTCTAGCTGAGAAGAATAACATTATACTTGTGTTTTTTTGGTTTAGAAATTTTTTAATGAAATGAGCAGCATTTATCCTATTTATTTTAAATTTCTTTGGCCGTTTTTTTTTTTTTTTAACCAATACTTTGGCTTTTTTTAGTTGTTAGTTAGTGATAGTAACGAAGCAGGTAAGTTTTGACATTGGGAGTTCTTTCAGTCCTATTATTGTTAACCAGCACCAATGGTGAATCCAGCATATTCTATTTAAAGGCTCTCTCTCTTCACTTCTTTCTACTTTTGTGAGCTTTGTTCACATTATAGCACTGTTCTGTGCTCACTTCGGTGGTTTTGATAGCAGAAACAAGAGAAATGGAGGCAGAGGGGAAGAAGAGTTTGGGATGCTTATTGGGTTATTATGGAAAGATTTTGTTTTGCTTTTTTGGTGTTCATGGGTTCATATTGAGTGGACGTGTATTGGGTTTTGAGGATTGGAATCAAACAGAGTCTTCAATGTACAGTACAGATGTGTTTAGTTTTGATCATTGGAACCTGAGTGAGGCTTCACTCTACAGTTATGCGAGTGCCCCAAATCCTCTAATGGTGGGCTTAACCCTGATTTTTGGAGCTAAGGCTAGAGGAGCTGGTATGTTTTTTTTGAAGTTTTTGAGTAGTTTTTTTATTTATTTCATGTATCTTATTTCTCTTCCATAAAAACCCCAAGTTGTTTAATCTCCTCTAAAATGAAATGGGTTTCAGCTATCCAAATTATGATTTTCTGTAACTTGTGGTTCTGGGTTCAACTCAGCTTGCCTGCTCCCGCATTATCACAAAAAAGAAAAAACTCAACTTGCCTGTTCCCCCAAGACAAAACTATGGATTTTCTTCTAGTTCTTCTTTGAATGCCAATGGCATATTAGAATCCTTTGAAAACTAAGTATTATTTCTTATTCATGTAATTGCTCTCTAGTTTCATTATGCCATGAAGTGCCTGTAATTTATTTTTCTTCAATTGCTATGTATAGAAGGGTAACATTCATATTCTTCAACTTGAAAGTTTTATAGCGCATTCAACATTTCCTTGTTCCTTCTTTTCTTCTTTTTGTCTTTTTTTAAAAAAAAAAAAAAAAAAATTAAATTAAATTTTGGTTCACAGTTTAGGGGATTTGATTGCTCTTCTGAACCAAATATGTACTAAAAAAGAATGAAGGCCCTGGGAATTAGACCATCTGCATGTTGAGAGACCGTTTTTTGGATCCTTCTGTTTTTGGTGCATTTTTACTGTTATGCTGTTTGTGCGTTCCTGTTCTGTTTGATGATATGTGTTTATGTTATTTCCTATTCCAATATCATCAATGATGATGGCAACCAGTCAAAAAAAATTAGGGTAATTTATAGAATTTCTAGACCCATTGGTTTAAAACAAGTTTGTAGGATCTTATTTGTTGGATTCTTCTCCTTTTTGCTGTTTTCTTCTTCTCCTTTTCGCTTTTCTTTTCTTACTTCTAAAATTTTTTTCATCCATTGGTATATAATCTTTTCAAATGGCAACTTCAGAAATTAATGAACCCAGACCAGTTCTTTTGCATGCTTCTAAAAAGAGAGGAATTCGTAACACTTCAATTTTAAAACGCTGCAGGTGTTTTAATTTTCTTGATCATGATTCTTTTCTTCTTTTCCTTTTTGATTGCATTCACATGGGGTTTGTCTTTAATTTGATTGTTTTCACATTATTTCTTTGATAATTAATTTATTGGTGAGGAAACATGTAGTACAAGGGACATTATGTTGGAAGAGAGTACAATGTGAAAACACAGAGAACAGTGAGAATCAAAGTTATTTGAATTTATTGCTTATTCTAATTTTTTTTGTGTTCTATACAGTATGTCTCGATGGTACCCTACCAGGGTATCATTTACACCGTGGGTTTGGTTCTGGGACAAACAGTTGGCTCATCCAGTTGGAGGTAAGTCAAGTTCATGACCAAAAAGCACATCTACAGGATCATTTCTCTTTTTTTCCTTTTCAGTGATTGTTATCATTTCTCATTCTTGATCCATGTCTAATGGTGAGATACGATCCTGTGTGTATATATGTGTATGTGTATGTTTGTTTATATATGCATGTGTGCAGATATATGTTCATATATGTGAGCATAAATACGTAATTATATAGACTATGAATGAATGAGGGTGTGGATGTATGCATGCATATGTGTAAATTTGTAGTAACTTGATTTTCCTATGGGTTTTGTATAGGGGGGTGGTTGGTGCAACAACCTCAGAACTTGTGTCTATCGCAAAACAACTCGCCGTGGTTCATCGATTTACATGGAGAAACAAATCCCATTTACCGGAATACTGAGCAATAAAGCTAATGAAAACCCAGGTCTGAGCCCCATTGTGTATTTGATCTATGCCTTTTGTTTTCAGTGTTGCAGAATTATTTGAAATTTTGGTAGAATTTTGAGAATTTTCATACTTGAAGGAGGTTTCGATTTTTCTTTCAGACTTCTTCAATTGGAACCGAGTCAAGGTTCGCTACTGTGATGGTGCATCCTTTAGTGGAGAAGGTGAAAATCAGGTCAGTGATATCATTTGCTTCTTGAAAGTTTTGGGTACTTGCACAAACGTTGAATGTATGATTTCTTGGATTTTGTTATTTTAAATTGTCAATTCAATTTCACGGGATTATGAAGTTTCTCTGCACTATTGAGTTGTGCTTTATGGGGAGATGGATTTTATCTCCAATTCTTGGTTCTATGCATGCTTCCCAATCATAGGATGCAAGTATGCCTCCAATGGAAGTGACTATATTGACGCAGAAAATTGCACGTGGAAGACTGCAAAGCTGGGGTATACAAGTAAGAGAACAAAAACAAAAGAATTCCAAATGGTAGGCCTTCCATTTGGTTCAACTCTTGTCAAAAGAGTGACTGTCATGGCTGGCCCTCCTCCCATAAGCATTAGAGCTTGGTTTGAGCTATTTCAAGCTATTGCTCTTAAGAGCAATTTGAGCAGTATGTCACTCATAATTCGTGTGATCAATAAAACTCAACATTATTATTCTTGCTGGCTTCTTTTGAATTTTTCTTCTTTTGAATTTTTCTTTTTCCTTGAAATGTTGACAATGTATTTGTATTAGTGTATTTGTATTTGAAATGTTTAATTTTCTTTAGAAGAAAATGAAAGGTTTTTTTAATTGAAATATATATATATATATATATATATAATTAGCACACAAAGACTTGTTTGGTTTTTTTGTTCTGTTATGTATGTAGACTTCTATACACTGGCAACCATGGATATTTCAACTATTAACACTTGGTGGTGTTTTTGTTGTCCGGGTCTTGTGTATATAGCATGTAAATATTGAATGTGTATAGTGCTCCCACAGGAGCCAATAACACGTGCTTCCACGAGCAAACACCTACTTTGAGGGTTTTACTGAACTGAAAGTTTTGCAAAAGTTTTTATTGTCCATGTGAACAATTTCAGGAAAAAAAAAATGACCACGCTTTTAAAAAGCTAGATCTGCTTAATCCATCAAATGGACAGTGTTTCACAGTTGGAGCGAGCATTTATTTGGTTATTAGGGCATGAAATCGAAATGTTTTTCTCTTGATTTATCTCTGAGACAACTAAATATGATTTGAATATTTTAGGATCAAACAACAACCCCCTCCTAAGTAACTTTTTCCCACATTAGATATTGTTCAATTTACTCCTGCGAGAGCATAACTTTTTTTCCATAAATATAACCATTGATGACATTCTCTTTTTCTGGAAATTGGTATGACTCTGGATGAACTTGATGATATCCTAGCTCTATATTATGCAACTTCGCATTGTCAGAGAGTCCATCACGGCTCCACCAAAGTTGCAAGCCATCGTTGTCTATATACTTCCATATTTGTAATCTGTTAATTGTCTAGTTGCTTATGAAATGGCGATATTCAATTTATACTATCATGAACACACTTCAAGGGAGGGAAACAAATGAGGTGAACTAAATTTTTTAGACAATCCTAAGTTCACAACTCAAGGTTCCTTGTGTAACCCAAGTGTCTGCTTCTTATCTGTTTGTGTACATTTTCTAGTTTTTATGAAGTTTTAGGAGAAAAAAGAAAGAGACTTTAAGGTTCAGTAAAAGCAAATATAAACTTACAGCCACCAGTGTTTTGTTTCCTCCAACAGTTTGAATCAACTAAATGTTCATCACTGTCTCTTACTAATAGTTGTGTTGTATTATGTTCCATAAACCCTTGTGTCCATTTTTTATGACATTTATTCTTGGTTCTGGTAGGCTGCAAATCTTATTTTTCGTGGGCAACGTATCTTTGAAACTGCTGTGGAAGAACTAATGGCAAAGGGAATGCGTTATGCCAATCAGGTACTCCTTTTCGTAAATTAGAATTGCAACCGGCTACTCCTTTCTTGTTCTAGAATTACTGTAAGTTTTACCCCTTTTCTTACTCTATTTTGTTTTGAGGTATGCTTTTTATTGTAGTATGATGTATGAATGATGTCTTTCACTTTCACTCTGTAATCATTCTCTAATGTCTTTACTTTCAGGCTCTTCTTTCTGGTTGCTCTGCAGGGGGGTTGGCATCCATCATACATTGTGACGAGTTTCGAGATCTTATGCCAAGGAATACTAAAGTGAAATGCCTTAGTGATGCTGGACTATTTCTTGACGCGTATGTCTTCCTCTATGAATTCTTCTTTATTGATGTTTTCATTTCATCTTTTGCAGGCCCATGTAGGAGTTCATTTGAATATATGCCTAACCATTCACCCCTGTTCCTGTCTCCCTCCCTCCCCACCC